TCTCAGAGGGAAGCGTTTACACTCCAGAGCAGAAGGGGGCGCTACTGTGCCCAAAGCCAACCACCAGTAGGAAACAAGAAGAAGAAGAGAAGCAGCGTAGCCGATAAAAATCAGACGCGCCAGCAGCAGTTTCTAGGTCTGCTGTATGGACCACTTTGCATTTAGAGGGAAGCACATGTTGGAATTAGCACTGTTTCCTCGCTTGCAATGTCAGAATCTCACCTACTTTTAACCTAAGACTGTCACAATAATGTATCAAATGTCAGACTGCTTTTTTCTTGCAGTTTTAACTAGGGATGGGGATCGAAACCCGGTTCTATCAAGGACCCGGTTCCACTTTTTTCAAAACCCAAAAATCAATAACGTTTGGGCTTATCGATACCACTATCGAGTCTGGTCGTTTTTTTATTATTACAATAGTAATTGTGAAATCTGTGTTGTAATCGGCAGCATACAAGCTAGTTAGCTTGAAAAGTAAATAAAGTTTCAGACGTGCTGCGTGATGATGTGTTCAAATTGGCTCAGTAAAACGACAATTAGGTTATCATGATGCGTTCAAGTGTAACGTAAAGAAAAGGGAAATTAAGTTTTTGGCGAGAAACATGAGTAATACAGTTGTATATTGCTCTAATTATTTTAGAATATATAATTAAACTACTGATGCCAACATTTATTAAAAATTACATTTAATTTAAAATACAATTATTTATTTGTTAAATATTGTCGCATCGTTTTTCCACCAAATAACAGAAAATGATCAATAGTGGTATCGATAAAGACTCGGATCGATAAGGAGTATCGATAAAAGTATCGATATCAATAAATATTAACGATCCCCATCCCTAGTTTTAACCTGACTATACAAGACATAATAGATTTTCCTAACAATCACCATATACCGAACCGAACCGAAAACCGTGACCACGAAACCGTGAAACGAACCGAACCGTGGATTTTGTGAACTGTCCCACCCCTAGTGCAGACGTGTAAATGCCAAAAGATTTATGACTGTATAATGTCACAAATCGTAATTTATATCAAGAGGAGGAGAGAACGTTTTTTCCTCTTTTAAAAGTAGCAAAAATAAACACTAAAAGGCAAAAGTGGAGTGCTGACTAGATTAAATCCAACCTGCGATCATTTAATCCTGAGTCTATCCTGTGATTTTTCCATTTAAATTAATGATATAATATCTAAAAAATAAGAAAAAAGACGCCGAAACAACCTTGTTCCTGGAGTGGTTAGCTCTGCCTGCCAGAGTTATTACTTCACATGGAAAATGACTTGTTTGTGGGCTCTGTGGTTCATTGGTCAGAGCACATGTCACTTTAGGGTGAACAAATCTTTCCCGTGGCACAAATGCCTTCAATAGATATTTTCAATGGGTATTTTATGTCAGACATTAGAACAACAGAGCCCAAAAGAACAGCTGAAGGATAATGTATCATAAAAAAATTAAATCTCAGTACAGAAAGCTGTTCTTAATAACTTTTTTTTTTCTGGGTCCTGTTATTTCACCACAGAAATCTGAACTGGTAGAGCAGATACCTGTAATGAATTTTTTTGTAGGGTGGAATAGTCCTTTATTAATCCCACAGGGGGGAAATACTGCAGCACAGCTACAAAATACACGCAAATAAATGTGTGTAGCTGATTTTTCTTCCCATTTCCGCAGCACCTTTCGATGCCTCAGCACGTCAAGATCACGGTGTCCAGGAAAACGCTGTTCGAGGATTCCTTCCAGCAGGTAAAGACTCACCATGCCCAGAGTTTGAATGGTGACCACAGCTTAAGGTGCTGCTAAGCCCAAATTGGATACTTTTAGGACTTTTTCCATTTTTTAAAGAAATACAGCAGAACCTCTACTTACGTTTGCCTAAACATGCGAATTTTCCCACATCCGAAGTGAAATTTGACCAAATACACCTGAAGTAAATTTCCAACATACAGTTGTAAAAATGTATATAAAGTTTACAAATAAATAAGCTAAAGTTCACTTAGTGAAAGTTAGAGTAAGTTAGGGTTCGTCCTATATGTCTCCATCTATACCTCCGTTCACCCGTCTCTGAGGTAAAGTGCCAACAAAAAACCCTTTTTATTGATTATTTCTTTATAATTTATTTCTTTTTACATCTCTCTTTTATAATGCAATTGTTTTATTGCTATGTGTAATTATCAGCAGTATTTATTAAGGGGCTATCGTAGGTTTTTGGGCTGTGGAACGAATTACAGTGTATTCTTTATGGGAATATTCAACCCAACATACGAATATTTTAACATACAAAGTAGGTCCTGGAACTAATTCAATTCGTATGTAGAGGTTCAACTGTATGTCAAATTTGTTTTGTGTTTGATTTACTCAAAAAAAACAACTGACTGCAAACCTGATGAAATGTCCCTCTTTATTTGCTGTTTGCCTTGAAGATAATGAGCTTCAATGCTCAGGATCTACGAAGAAGGTTGTGGATCATCTTTCCGGGAGAGGAAGGCCTCGACTATGGAGGAGTTGCTAGGTAAGAGTGACCACGTTGACCAGACACTGGTCCTGCGGCAGACCATTTCTAATCCACAGAAAGTGTTTCACACTCTGCCCTCTTTTCCTCTTCTCCCAGGGAGTGGTTCTTCCTGTTGTCCCACGAGGTGTTGAACCCCATGTACTGCCTGTTTGAATATGCTGGTAAAGACAACTACTGCCTCCAGATCAACCCCGCCTCCTACATCAACCCTGACCACCTCAAGTACTTCAAGTTCATAGGACGCTTCATTGCCATGGTTAGTTTGCTCTCTTCAGTTAGAGAGACAGTGGTGTGTTATTAGATAGAGAATTCGCAGTGGTTTGTGATTAAAATGGAGTCAAACAATGACATGTTGCGTTCGCCCCTCAGGCTCTTTTCCATGGGAAGTTTATCGACACTGGTTTCTCACTGCCGTTTTACAAGCGCATGCTCAACAAGCCCTTAACCCTCAAAGACCTGGAGTCCATAGATCCCGAGTTCTACAATTCCCTCGTGTGGATACAGTGAGTACCGTTCAGCTCTTAAGTCAGTCATGGATGATTGTACACAGAAGTGCAGCACATGTGTCCCCAGAGGTTTTATGTAAACCACAGAAAGGGCCGTTTTGAGCCTGCATTAGTTTGATTCTTCCTGTGTTACAGTTTCTTTTAAATGTGCCGACACGCTCGATGTCGCATGCTTTATTCTCTCAAACATTGAGTGTTTTAAGTCTGAGCTCCACTATACTAGAAATGTAAAAAGATTATTGATGATTTGTGGCAAAGTGTTCGAAACAAGTTGGCTGAAGTGTATTGCACAGAATTATGTGGTCATTTTAAAGTTCATGCTCTTTGTAACACGGGTACCACAAATGTGACCAAAAACACTGAAACTCTGACATTTACCTGTGGTCGAACCAAAGGGAAATATTTAGCAGATATTATTAAAATGGGTGTGAGATATATGTTAGTGTGTTAAAAACAAGGGTTCGATGCCCTCCAGCGTGTCAGTCACATCCTTTGGGTTCCCAGCTGAGCTTGTCAAAAGTGGACAACTCAACTGACCCTATACAGTAGAACCTCTGCATACAAATTTAAATCGTTCCAGGACCTACTTTGTATGTTAAAATATGTACGAACCGTAACTTACTCTAACTTTAAACAAACGTAGCTTATTTATTTTTATTAGATTTTTATACATATGTATATATTTTTTTTCTATGACTTTGGGTGTCAATTTGAATATTTTATCAATTTTCATTTTGAAAAATTCGTATATTTAGGCAATCATAAGTAGAGGTTCTACTGTAACTGCCTTTTTCTCATCTTGTGTAAATGTACTTTTCAGGAACAACGACATTGAGGAGTGCGGCCTGGAGATGTTCTTCTCTGTCGACAAGGAGATCCTGGGGGAAATCACCACCCACGAGCTGAAACCCGGAGGAAACGACATCCAAGTCACAGAGGAGAACAAGGAGGAGTACATCAAGTGGGTTCTCGGTCTTTCTACTTTTGATTCTCTTGAATTAAACATTCAAAGGGCGGTTTTATGCTTGGAGATTAGGGATGTCCCGATCCAGCTTTTTGTACTTCCAATCCGAGCCGTATTAAAGTTTAAAGTTATTTATCTACTCACTTAGTTGTCAGACTCATGTTGTACTCTGATAACAACTTAATGGTTAGGACACAGACCCGTGGGTTAGGAGATGCTAATGCTAATGCTCGTGTGTGATCTGACTTTAAAAAAAAAACTGGATCTTCATTTTCTCCTGTCGGGCGATACGCATTTTTTTGCAAATATCGGCATCCGATCCAGATATCGGATCGGGACAAGCCTAGTGGAGGTGTGCGTTGTAGGTTTGTGACGTTCACGGGGTCTCGGCCTGTTTGTGTCCCGCCCCCCACAGGCTGGTTTCAGAGTGGCGGCTGTCCAGAGGAGTGGAAGAGCAGACCAAAGCCTTCTTCGAAGGCTTCAACGAGGTTCTCCCGCAGCAGTCCCTGCAGTACTTTGACGCCAAAGAGCTGGAGGTGCGTCCGGGGCCCCAAACGCCCGCTAAACGATCCGTTGCCTCCGGATTTCTAACCGAGCCGTGTGGTGTTGCAGGTGATGCTGTGCGGTATGCAGGAGATCGACCTCGCCGACTGGCAGAGGAACACCATCTACAGGCACTACGCCCGCAGCAGCAAGCAGATCCTCTGGTTCTGGCAGGTCAGTAACTTCCAGAACACAGCAGAACTTCTACATTGGAAATAAATTACTTCCAGGACCTACTTCATATGTTTAAGTATTCGTATGTTGGTTTGAATATTCCCATAAGAATACACTGTAATTCCTATAACTCGTTCCACAGCCCAAAAACCTACGATAACACTGTATTAAATACGGCAGATAATTACACATAACAATAAAACAAATGCATTATATAAGAGGTATTTGAAAATAAATAATCAATAAAAGTGTTTTTTAATTTTCAAACGGAGGTAGAAGTGGAGACTGAGATACAGGACGTAGCCTAACTTACTCTAACTTTCACTACATGAACTTTAAACTAACTTTGCTTATTTATTTTTACTTAATTTTTATATATTATATTGTTTATATCGATCGTAAGTAGAGGTTCTGCTGTATTTCTGTATTTTTTTCTGGTTTTATCCGTTAGGTGTGTGATTAGAAGTGTGTGTTCTAATATCAACCCAAATTGGGAGCGCTTTTGTCTTTTTAAATGCTGGTCCGATCCATTCCTGATCCGTCCATAACCCGGAGCACAGGCGTCTCTACGCCTGCCTCGTCTTCCGTTTGTTCAGCTGTATCCTCTCTCTGATGGCGCCTGTTAAACTTTTGCCTGCAGTTCATTAAAGAGATGGATAACGAAAAGCGGATGAGGCTGCTCCAGTTCGTAACCGGCACCTGCCGCCTGCCAGTCGGAGGCTTCGCCGACCTCATGGGTAACAATTACATCAATTATGCATTTAATTACAGCAGATCATGTATGAAACTCTTTAAAGGAGTTTTAGTCGCTTTGGATCTGATACAAAAACATTAAACTCCATTGATGTATTTTGTTCAGTGCCACTGATGGTTCTTTGCTTTGTGTTTAAGGTTAAAAAATGTGGAAGGTTTTGTTTGTTTTCATGCTGATGGTGAAGTCTTTAATTACAGTGATAACTCTGGCTTCTGCTGACTTGCTTTGTAGGAAGCAACGGTCCTCAAAAGTTCTGTATTGAGAAGGTGGGAAAAGAAAACTGGCTTCCCCGGAGCCACACGTGGTGAGTGCCTTCAGATCGCTGCCGGGGAGGCAGGTGTCCGTGTGATTTATTCCATTTTACTGTCCAGCCGTCTGACTTTAGGAGCTTCACAGAACATAACTCTGCTGCATTTACCTGCCAGCTAACACCATCAGTCATTTTCTAGAAACAAAAATGGCCTTTTAATATTTTTTCTGAATACGTTCAGGTTTTTATTTGTTATTTTTATGTGAAACGGCTTCGACAATGTACCTTTTAATACATTAATATATAAATGCTTATGGCATCCCAAGCCACAAGTTGTCATATGGTATAAATATATCTATCTGTAATATCTGCAGAGATTTAGTCTCATCTCATCAGGCATAAATGCTGACAGCTCAATTTTTTTCCTCTTTTTCTGCCATATGTCCAGTTGAAATGTTTTACTTTTGATGCATCGTTAAGAACAGATGCCAAATAGTGCTGCTGGTACGTTATTGGTTCATTTGGTTCTTTGTTTGACTGACGTGGAAGTGAAATGAGCTCCGTCTCCAGGCCAATGTGCAGGAAAAGGTTGAACTTTAAAAAGAAAAAAGGGGTGGAAAATCCAGTTTTTATGTTCAGCTGTGCATAAAAGCCATTTTCCCAGAAACAAACGGGTGTAAAAAGTTCCTTTGCTTTCTCCAGCTTCAACAGGTTGGACCTGCCGCCCTACAAGAGCTACGAGCAGCTGAAGGAGAAGCTGATGTTCGCCATCGAGGAGACGGAAGGCTTCGGGCAGGAGTGAAAGGAGAAGCGGAGGACGAGGTGCCAGAGCATGAAGGAGTCCCACCGTCAGTGTTAGAGGGGCTTCGGCAGCATGGTGTTCACTCATGCAGCCGAAAATCTGTGGACGCGAAGCTGGGAGCCCAAAAGGGGCGAGGAAAAGCTTTGTACCCTTTAAACCAAAACATGGAAGCCGCTCCCGCTCCTGAGAATGTGCGCCAATTTATGCATGAGATTCTGACAGCTCACCTTCTCCCTCTGCTGTGAAGCAGAACCATGGCAGCCTCCCTCTCTCTGCCCATGCCAGCGGGACCTGGAGGGGGTCCCAGAGCTCCAGTCACATTCTCACGGCCGGAAAAGAGCAGCGATGGTTTTCCATTTTAATGCAGGTTTGAGAAGTCAGGGCTTTCTTTTTTTCTGTTTTCTTTTCTATTTTTAAACGGGGTTGAATTGCACCAAAAAAAGTGGGAGACTCTGTACTAACGACTTAAAGCAATAATGCGTCATTTTCAAAAAAACCTAGTGCTCCAAATTAACGCTTAAATAACAGACAATCTTGGTGCTTCAAAGAGATTTGGGATGTTCCGTGGTCTGGAGTTTGTGTTGTTTCTCCTGTGAATCGAATCATGATTGTGAAAAGTGTTGTAGCCTCCATTATTTGTGGCAAATGTGGAACACAACCTTAACTGGCCCTAGTTTTATAGGGCCAGAGTTTGCACGCCGTGACGTGGAATGGGACATTATGGATTAGAGTATTCTGGAAGAATTTTAAAGCGCAGCTTTAATGGCATTGCTCGCCTTTAATAATGGGATTAACAATCATTCATTTAACGTTCAGAAGGGGGTTGACTGACTGGACCCTAAAGAAATGAAACAGAAAACCAAAATCGGATCAAAACAAATGCACTATTTTAGATTTTAAGAGACATTTTCACGTCTTGATTTGAACACCTAAACAGGAACATATGTTGGCAAATTCTTTTTTTGCCAATATTGGTCAGACAATACATTTTAAATCTGCTAATACAGAATATTATTGCTCCTCTTTCAGATTACATAACACAAACGCAACATATTTTGGCCTGTTTTTGTGCGGCCTACTGATGACTGTCCACAAACCCTAAACGTCTGATCGCTCTGTTCATAAAGTGAGACCGTGTGGGTCAGGAGGGGATTTTCTTTTTTCTTTACTGATCCTTTTTTGGGAAGTCCCTCAGCTTTTTCCTTGGAGGCTGCTGCCCAGTATGTTTTACATGCCTCCCTCTCCTCTTACATTAAGGTTATTAAAAAGCTTGTGAAGACCCAGAGGGAGGAGCATGTGATCTAAAACACGTTTCTTAGGGCTCAGTTCGCCATCTTTGGCATCAGCAGGAAGCCTTATTCCCACCCTCATGGCTCTGGTGTCTATGTGCGGCCACCGGAGAGCACAGGTCGGTTTTATTCTGGGTTTCTTTTCATCCGATCTGCTCAGAGTGGAAGAAACCAGATCAGGACGTGTTCATCAGAGGCCGCTGACCCACTGTGTCCAACGCCTGGGAGACTCATTGAATGTATCAGGATGAAAGCTCGATTGGTCGATTTTGCCTCAGACTATTCCCTCCCCCTCCCCCCAGATGCAGGATGCTGTTTCACCTCCTGGGTTTATCACTTATTTAAATCACAGGGTTAAAAACAAGAGAGCGTCAGTCAGCATCGCTCTTTTTTTTATTAGTATTTAAAGGAAAATGCTTTCCAGAATCCTCCATATCCGACTAAACCACTGTCACTCTCCTGTATAGGAAACCAAGCTGTAAATGGTGTCAATAACAAATTTTTCTTTTATAAGAGAGGTTTTAATAAGAAGTTTATGGTAATACTCTATTTTCTTTTCCCTGTTTAATTGCTGATGTACATGAAGATGTGTAATATAGAAATTGTCACCTTAATAAATTAAATTAAAAAAACAGGAATGTGTTTTTACTGAAGTAAAAAATCCGCAACTGTTTGGAGAAAGAAGTTGCATTTAATCATTTAGGAATATTAGTAAGTGGTAAAACTTTTATTTTATCTGCTTTCTGGGTATTTCATTTAGGATTTGAACCTCTTTTTAAAACATTTTTTGGATCTGTCTTAAATCACCATGCTGCCACGTTCCCTAAACCACACAATACTAAGTTTGTTGGGCTTCAAAATTGAATATGAAACATTTCTGAAAATACGGACAGATATCAATAAGCACAAACACCTCTTAGATGTGGGTAAACTTCTTATAATTTAGCTTTTGCTACATAGGTTGGCTTCAGCACATTGTAAATGAGCAGCTGTGGAAACATCACGTCTCCCAAAACACCTTCTTTTTTTTTTCCCCCAGAGAAGAAGTTAAAATGGGAGAAAAAAAAAGTCTAAATGACGTTTTAATGTAAAACAAACGGCGGGATTATTTCCTGGATTTCCGACCCCCTTTTGGGAGAGTCGGGCGGATCCAGGAAGTGCCGCTATAAACATGGCCGCTGCAAACCGTTCTGCTGGTTCTTCTGAATCCCCGCCTCCGCTCCTCCGTGAGCCTCCTCCCCCCCCTCCCCGCCCCCCCGCCCTTCGGCAGCGCTGATGGCGGCCTGACCCCCCCCGTCGGCCCCCCTCTCGTCCTCTTCCTCCCCACTTGGCGCCTCCCCCTGTCGGCTGTCCTCTTCTTCCTCCTCCTCCTCCTCCTCCTCTGCGTTCCCCGGCCTTTTCAGCCGGTCTCCATCCTTCTCCTCGGCCGTGGGCTCCTCCTCCTCCTCCTCCTCCTCCTCCTGCTCTTCCTCGTCCCCCTCGGCCCCCGGCCCCCCCCCGGCCGCGGGGCACTTGTGGTCCCGGTAGTAGCTCTGGCGGGTGAAGCCCTTGTTGCAGGCGGAGCACCGGAAGCGGTAGTTGTCGGTGTGGGACTGCTGGTGCTCCAGCATGTGGGCCCTGCGGCTGAACGTCTTCTGGCAAAACAGACACTTGTAGGGCTTGATGCCTAGCGGGAGGAAAAAGGTGAAGGGGGGGAGGGGGGTGAGAGAGAGGCGTCGCCGGAGCATTTATCCCCCCCCCCCCCCAAGCGTGGAGCGGCTCGCTCACCTGAATGAGACAGGATGTGCGCCTTCAGTTTGTCCGGCCGGTTGAACTCTTTGGTGCAGCCCACATGCGTCCTGACGCACAAACAGAAGACAAGCTAGCTGTGAGAATGCCAAATTCTGAAGGGAGGAAGTCAAAGAAAAGCTGAGACAGACATAGAACTGAAGAGTGGAAGAAGAAAGCCAAAAGGATTAGAAGAAGAAATGCCGAAGGGAGGAACCAGAAGAAGCCAAAGAAAAGCTGAAGGAGACATGGAACTGAAGAGTGGGAGAACAAAGGCAAAAGGATAAGAAGAACTGAAGACTTTAATGGGATTTGAACCAGCAACTTCTCAAACTGGAGACAAACCCTCTACCATTGAGCTATACCCCAATCAGAAAGGCTGCATAGGACTACATATGAAGAATTTAAAGGGGCTGAAACGCCAGTGTCCAACAGATGGAGCCATGTTTTTGACTCCATTCATTTCAATGAGACAAAATAAAAGCAGAAAAAGTTAAATAACTTAAAAAGTTGAAAAGATTTGAACAGCAAAAGACTTAGCTGCATAACGCTAAAGGAGCCAAACATTTTGAGTCCTTATTTGTTGAAATAGGCTGAAAACTGTGGGCGTAGTTAGACGCAGAAGAAGTGAAACAGGGCCTCACCTGAAGGGACATTTGTACTTCTTGAAGGGCTCGTGGATGAGCATGTGTCGCTTGACTTTGTCCTTCCGGTTGAACGTGGCCTCGCAGAGGGAACACTTGTACGGCTTTTCGCCTGCAAACAGAACGGGCAGAACTGAGCTCTCAGCTGGTCCGTGGCGCCTTCAGACGCTTAAAAAAAACAAAACAAAGACCGCGAGGTACCCGGGCCGGACCTGAGTGGATGCGCATGTGCAGCTTGAGGTAGTGCTCCGTCTTGAAGGCCTTCTTGCAGATCTGACACTTGAACCTGCCGCCCACGCCGTGGGTGGGGAGGTGGCGGCGGAAATATCTCTCGCACGGGAAAACCTGCAAACAGCAGATGGTAGGACTTTAACTCCATAGATCCCCTAAATGGCTGCATGAGGGTTCTGCAGGGTGTGGGGGGGGGCAAACCTTTTGGCAGTGAGGGCAGGGAAAGCTGTGTGAAGCCGTCAGAAGATGCTGCTCCAGGGCCTCCTGAGTCGAATATCTGCTCTGACACTTCACGCACCTGGAAGAAGAAACGGAGCACAATGAGACAAATTCAAGCTCCAAACGAAACGGCAGAACTCCGCTCCCCCCTACCGGCCGGTTTGAGATGTGGTTCTCTGATGGAAAATCCTATTTCCACTCTTGCTTTTGGGTGTGAAAACTGATTCAGGTCTGATTAGTTTGGATCATTGAACCTCTGAAGGTCCGACTGGTTGACCTCTTTTCCTGAATGAAATCAGGAGGGATGGGATCCTCTGAGCCGATCGGCTGGTTTACAGCCAGGCGACTGGTGGGGTTAAATGAAGATAAAATGTTTATATGAAAAGGAAATGAAAGGGATTTGTTATCCTGAGACAGTCTCCGGATGATGGAGACATTACTTTCCATCGTGGTACAGATGGTGAAGGACCAAACCAGCATCCCTGAGGACTTCTGGTCCCAGGTTTGACCTGGACTTCTGGTCCTAGGTGTGACCTGGACTTGTGGTCCCAGGTTTGGGTAGGCTCTGTTCAAACACAGGCCATCAACCAGGTGTTTGACCGGGCCTTTGACCAGGTGCGACCTGGACTTGTGGTCCCAGGTGCAACCTGGACTTGTGGTCCCAGGTGTGACCTAGACTTGTTGTACCAGGTTTGGGCGGGCTCTGGTCAAAGACAGGCCTTTAACCAGGTGTTTGACCAGGTGTTTGACCAGGCCTTTGACCAGGTGTTTGACCAGGCCTTTGACCAGGCCTTTAACCAGGTGTGTCCTGGACTTGTGGTCCCGGGTGCGACGTGGACTTGTGGTCCCAGGTTTGGGCGGGCTCTGGTCAAATACAGGCCTTTAACCAGGTGTTTGACCAGGCCTTTGACCAGGTGTTTGACCAGGCCTTTGACCAGGCCTATGACCAGGTGTTTGACCAGGCCTTTGACCAGGTGTTTGACCAGGCCTTTTACCAGGCCTTTGACCAGGTTTGCCCTGGACTTGTGGCCCCAGGTGTGGGCGGGGCTCACCTGTAGACGGTGGTCTCCTTGCGTGTGTTCTGCTGCGGGCAGAAGCAGTGGGAGTACTGGTGGACTCCCAGCTCGAACAGGGAGGGGAACACCTTGCTGCACAGGTGGCAGCGGTAGGTCAGCTGCTCCTGGTGCGTCCGGATGTGCTCCAGGAACTGGTCCAGCTTCTGGAAGGTCTGCGAGCAGGACTTCAGCACGCACTTATAGACCTGCAGGAGGGGGTTGGGGCGGTTGGATCTTTTTACATTAGGCACCACTTCCTCCCCACCCCGGAGGCGGACATTGTCCACCCCCCCTTCCTTTTTTCCCTGCCCACCTGCTCCCCTTTGTGCTGCGTGAGGTGGGACTTGAGCTGGAAGTAGGTCTTGAACTTGCTGGCGCAGAACTGGCACTGGTAGGAGCTGTCTATCACCACCATCTGTCGGCCCTCGGCCCCGCCCGCCTGCTTCTGATTGGCCGGGGCCTGCGCCTGCATCCGGGCCCGGGGGGTTCCGCCCCCCGCCTCTTCTCCTCGGCCCGTCGCTGGGTGGGCTTGACCCCCCTCCAGACCCTCATCCAGACCCTCGTCCAGCTCGTCCGGGGCCTCTGTGAAACCATCCGTGGTTATGGGCAGTGTTGGGTAAGTTACTTTAAAAATGTAATCCGTTACAGTTACAAGTGACCTTGTTTAAAATGTAATTGTAGTGTAACGTTTTCGATTACTTTTAAAAAGTAATGTAACTAATTACTTTTGATTACTTTTTGATTACTTTAAGGTTTTAATGAGTATTGACCCATGATTAATTTTAGCATGTTATTATTAGCTATTGGCCGCAGCTAGCAGTTCAAGGCTAACGTCTTGTTAATGATCATAAACAACGTAAATAAATACATAAATAAATCGGAGACAAGGGGCGCAGCGACGGCAGGTCAGTCGTATCCGGATACAACATTTTAGTATCGATACTTTTTTAAGTATCGATACTTTTGACAACCCTAGTCTGAAATGTAGGACATGTCCGGGAAAAAGAGGACGTCTGGTCACCCTACAGTTGGGTAGGCTAGGTAGGCTAGGCTAGGCTAGGCTAGGCTAGGCTAGGCTAGGTCATTGACATCGATAAACGTTTGTCATGCATCAACACCAAACATTCAAATATTAGTAAATCAATACGCTTCGTCTATCAGTGAGTTGCATATTTCGCAAAGGTTTTTCTTTATATTAAATTTTTTTTTTAAACTAAATTTGTAATTCTTAACATTTTCGGAAGTAACTGTAACTGAATTACATATTTTCTCATTGTAACTGTAACGAATTACAGTTACTCTTTTTTTGTAATTAAATTACGTAACGTCGTTACATGTAATCCGTTACTCCCCAACATTGGTTATGGGCTACCTATCTCCTCCCGTATCGGGGGGGGGGCGTTGACATCCGGGGCCTCACCTGCTGGGGGGGAGTCCTGCTCGGATCGGGCCGGCGGCCCCTCCTGCTGCTTCCCGCCCCCCTCTTCCTCCTCCTCTTCCTCCTCATCCTCCTCCTGGCTGGACGCCAGAGGCACCACCTTGACGGTGATTGGCAGCCGGGACACCGTGCTGGCCACGTTCATGGGCCAAACCTTAACGGGGGACACAGAGTTTCTGCCGTGAGCGCTGGGGGTCAGTGAACTCGCCACGTTCTGAGGACAAAGGAGGGGGTTCAGCGACCGGACCTTGTGAGTCTGCATGTGCTTCTTCACGTTGGACTTTTGGGCGAAGGCTCGGCCGCAGACGATACACTGGAAGGGCTTCTCTCCGGTGTGGCTGCGAAGGAGGAAACAGTCTGTAATGAGACCCCCCCCCGAGCTCCGGGACCCCCCCCACGCCGACACTCACCTGCGGATGTGCTGCTGGAGATCGAAGTTTTTGGAGAAGACCTTGTCGCAGAAATTACACTTCAGCTTCTGGCCTTTTGCCTTCAGTTGCTCTGCTGGAAGGAGGGGGGGGGGGGGGGGGGGGGGGTGGGGGGGGCAAAGTTAAGTCAGCTGTGGTATGGTCTCGTTTCCTGTGTGGTTTCGTTAAACTCTAAAGCTAGTGTTCTAGTGTTCGATGAAACTTCCCTCCAAACGTAGTGAATTCCTACTATTTGTCAAACTGACCCATAATCTTTTTTTTAATGGATTCCTTTGTGTCCCCCGTGGGGGGGGGCAGCTACCCACTACATCCGGCCCTCTCCTCACCTGCTGCTCCATCCGCGGTCTTTTTGCTGACCCTCGGCTGTTTTGGGATGATGACCTTCTCGAAGTCGCCCAGCTCCGGCACGCCGCTGGCGGAGCTGCAGGTCTTGGTTTTGGCGCCCTGCTTGCCGGGACTGTAGACGGGGGGGCTGGTGTAGGGCTGGCTCTCCACACACTGACTGGGCACCTGGGGAGGAGACGCACACGGGGGGGGGGCATGGTTTAGGGTTAACAGGACTTTGACCAGGCGTTTGACCAGGTGTTTAACCAGGTCTTTAAACAGGCCTCTGACCAGGTGATTGACCAGGACTTTGACCAGGTATTGTACCAGGTGTTTGACCGGGTGTCTGACCAGGTGTTTGACTAGATGATTGACCAGGCCTTTGACCAGGTATTTGACCAGTCCTTTGACCAGGTATTGTACCAGGTGTTCGACCAGGTGTCTAATCAGGCCTTGGACCAGCCCTTTGACAAGGTGTCTGACCAGGCCTTTAACCAGGTATTGTACCAGGTGTTTGACCAGGCCTTTGACCAAGTGTTTGACCAGGTATTGTACCAGGTATTTGACCAGGCCTTTGACCAGGTGTTTGACCAGGCTTTTGACCAGTCCTTTGACCAGGTGTTTGACCAGGCTTTTGACTAGGTGTTTGACCAGTCCATTGACCAGATTATGTACCAGGTGTTTGACCAGGCCTTTGACAAGGTGTTTGACCGGGCTTTTGATCAGTCCTTTGACCAGGTATTGTACCAGGTGTTTGACCAGGCCTTTGACTAGGTGTTTGACCAGTCAATTGACCAGATTATGTACCTGGTGTTTGACCATGCCTCTGACAAGGTGTTTGACCAGGATTTTGATCATTCCTTTGACCAGGTATTGTACCGGGTGTTTGACCAGGCCTTTGACTAGGCCTTTGACCAGGTATTGTACCAACTGTTTGACCAGGTATTGTACCAGGCCTTTGACCAGGCCTTTGACCAGGCCTTTGACCAGGCCTTTGACTGTGTCGGGAGCGGGCTGCACTCACTTGAACAGGATGGAAAGCCTGCAGACCCAAAGCGTGGATCTCCGCGCCGCCCCCCCCGCCCCCGCCGCCGCCGCCCACCATATGAGGCATGGTGCTGTAGACCTGCACCACCGAGTTGCTGTGGCTGGCCGGGACCTGAGAGGCGAGCGGCTGCTGGGCGGGCTGCCCCGCCGGCAGCGGGTGGGGGGGGTTGGGGGCGGGGGGCAGCGGGTGGGGGGACGGCTGTTGCTGCTGGTGCTGCTGCTGGTGGTGCTGATGAAGGTGGTGGTGGTGGTGGTGGTGCGGGTGGTGCTGCAGGTATGAAACTCCCGCCGTGTGCATGCTTAGGTTACTCTGTAAAGAAGGCAGAAAGACGTGGATTTGGATGCTGGGGCGGATGGAAGCGACAGGGGACACGTGCACTGCGGGACAACTGACCTGTACAGGCGTCTGCATGGCGGCCATGGGCTGGTCGATGGAGGTGAACGCTGAAATGGCCGACATGAGAACGTCATCGCTGACCAGCACGTTGCCTTGCACCAGGGTGTGAGTCAGCGGAGAGGGAGGGACTGTGATGTAGGTGGATACCTGTTAAATGAAGTTCATTAGGGATTATTAGCGAATATTAGGATTACCTGCTCGACGAATCCTTCTTTAAATCCTAATCAGTCATCTTAAATTTTATATTACTGCATACTTTCAGCTTCCTGCATCGGATCAATAAAAAAAAAAGGATTCGCTACGCGCTCACGTGTCTGTTTGGCGGCGTTTGTGGCACAGAGCTGATGGGTGGGACCGGTGCGTACGTGTGGGTGGAGGCCAGGGACACCGTGGACAGGGAGGGGGCACCGGACTGACACTGCTCTCTCTTATGGGTCATAAAGGCCGGCAGAGAGTTGAACTGTTTCTTACACTTCCCACACAGGAAAACGTCTTCGTCGTCTGCAGGAAAGACCCAGACGGAGTTTAAAGGCGTACGTGTAGCAAACGAGAAACATGTAATTTAGCAGCAGAGCCAGTAAATATTGTAAGAAAAATAATAAAACACATAATGTACACACACCAAGATCTCCAGAGATTTGTTAGCATGGGATCAGAGCAAGAAATCCACTTTTGGCATTTTTGGCTCCAATGAATGCCAGTATCTAAATTCCTGTTTTTATACATCACTTTTAAGGAGAAAATAAGTCCAAACAATCCTATGATGGCTGCTGCTTCAGGCTGGGTTAAATGTCATACCCATTGACTGGATAGCAGGCGTTGCAGACACGTTTTGGTTGTTTGGGTCAGGAACTCCCCCCTGGCCATCCAGCAGGGACTGGACCGCCAACACCGTCTGGTTGTCCATGCCTAAGAAGAGGGAGGAATAAAATAAGGAGGACTGTCCAAATTCTGGTCTCTAAACAGAATGCTGTCATTTTTCAAGTCTTATCTGGTCAGATAATAATGAGATAATTTCTTTTTTTTTATGAAAAACACTATCTAGCACACTATCTTCTGAAAACATGCTTCACCAAATGTTCTAAGGAAAAACTGCTGCAGCTTCCTTGGTTTGTGCATCTTCAGAAAAGCCAAATTATTCTATAAACCACAGTTTCAACGGTGGACTGATCAAAATCATAATTTAAAAAAATACACAACGCCTACAGTTGCATACTGGATAACCAACCAATCATAACCAGTTTAAAATAATTACAGGCAGATGACTATCGTCAGAAACAAGCAGACTCATTTTGAATATTTATTATTTTTCTCTGACACTGAATGAAAATGGAATAAATAAATCAGATGCTTAAACAATAACCTCCCCTTGATGTTCGCCTGTTAATCGATCAGGTATTTTGTTTACACTCGAGCCCACTGTCCCATCTATGGGATTTTTTTATGGACGCGTATTCATGATGTGACGATGGCTTTTTCTGCATGACAGAATGAGCGTGCAATTAATAGTCTTTTTTAAAAATCCTCCAACGTCCAAATGCGTCTCTAATTAAGCGATCAATGAAAATATTTCTACCTTCAAGCACCTCAAAAATTGCCTGCGCCATCTTGTTGCTCTCCTGCTGCGCGATGTGAGCTCGATTGGAGGAGCCTGCCGCTTCAGGGACCGGTTCCCTGTGTGGAAATTTCCCCCCCAGCTCCGGTGAAATCTGGGAGACCGCGTCAATCCCCCCCTTTCAAAGAGGTGAGTGGTTGGTGAACACCTCGTGAATCGTCATAGGATGGAACAATTATGATTATTACACACTGGATAACTGAATATCTCCAAACTCACAGGCGTGGGTGTGATAACTGAAATAGCATCAGTATGTAGGTTACAATCGTGCGAAATGCTTGTTATAAAGTTCACCCAGCTTCTGTTTGTTGTGAATTTGTTTTTTTTATCGGTCTCAAGTTTGAAAAAGGTTGCAACAGATCGAAGTTAACAAAGCAGACGCTGCCTTGAATGTGTTTTGTTTTTCCCCGCGGTACCCGAACGCACCATCGGATCGATTGGTCTGTGCTTCCTGTGTGGTCGATGGCCGTTTGCACCAATCAGAGACGGTTCCGCCCGCCCCGCCGAAAGCGCAGCTCTCTGGCCAATGGCAACCGTCGAAGGACCCCACGTGACGGTTTTCGCGGCAAAAAAGATTTCGCGCGGAAAACCGTCCGGGGCTTGTTTAGATCAGCTGGGACAATAACAACAATAACGGCCGGTAACGGGGTCGGAGCGACGTTGTCGGTAAAACGGTCGCGGCGCGCGGCGAGCAGCCGGACAGCACGCGGACAAACCCGGTTTGAAAACGTGGCGCGTGCATTTCCACGGTTTTTCTCTCCCCCGTGGCTCCAGTTTGGTCGGACCGCTTCCTGCGTGCCCCAACAAAACGAGGGGACAGAAGAACGACGGCTAACTCACTCGAGCTAACATGCTAACGTGCCCTATATCTCCACACCCAGCCGCAGTGCCGCGCTTTCCTCGCGACCGCGCGTGGCTTTCGTGAACATTTTCCCAGAGACGATTTGAATTGGCCGCGATGGCTTTCGCCTCGTGGACGTTTCGTGTCGATAGCTCACTTCTATAAGCCGCCGTAAAGTTTTTCTGGAGCCCCTCAATGAGTAGACTTTCCTCCGTGTCCGGGGGGAGAGTGTGTTGTTTGTTAGTTGTGAACCGCTAGTTTCGCGGCCGCGTGGGTCTGTTTGTGAACTTGTGGGGAGTTTATTGTGTTGTTGTTGTTGGCGAGTCGCAAGCTAGCTCGTTAGCCGGGCTGGTAGTGGCCAGGCCTCGGCCAGCCTCCACTGTCAGGACGAACGAAAACAAAAGACTAGCTTGGTCCTGAGCTAGCTGGTGACCCCCCCCCCCCCCCCGGGTCTGCCGCCCCCCCCCCCTCGGGTCATTTTGCGGCCCTTTCTTCGGCTGCATTTCCGCGGCTTTAGCCTCCTGGTGTTATGAATTTAGCCGCCCTCCCCGACTTGCCAAATTTCCTGTTTGGCTGAACATCCTGTCAAAGACTGTTGGTGTAAATCTGCTTAGCCACGTCGCCTGAGATATAGATCCAACTTTGCTCAAAGTTTTATCGGCCTGTTGTGTTTCCCACTGTTAAGCAGACAGACAGACATCCAGGGGGAGATGTTTTAGGGGACGCTGACCTCCTCCAGGCAGACCGTGGAGAGGCTGTGATGATGCCTCAATAATCCCCAGACGGCAGCAGAAAGGTGCTGACAGGCTCTTGAGGTGCAGATCCTTGAGTTTGTGGCCCCCTGGAGAGGAGCAGCCCAGCCCCTTCAGGGATGTCCGAGGCTCTGCTCACGGGGCAGACGTCCGAGGACCTGTTGGCAGACTTCGAGACTCTGCTGAACTCCGGGAGCATCGACCTGGGCGCCGACCACCAGATCGTGATCATCACCAGCCCGGGCAATGAGGGGCTCCACCCGGCCGCGGCCCCCAGCAGCACCGGGGAGATCCTGCTGTTCGCCACGCCGCAGGGCCCCGCCGACCTGCAGGACAAGAGGCGCCCGGCGCTGGGGAGGCCGCCGGTGAGCCCGTGGGGGGGGTTGTTAACCTGATAGGAAGCCTGAAAACAATCCAGAATAGATCAAGAGTACAAATATGACCATTACTGGACACAGGTAGGATCTCAAGAGCCCCCAAATCCGGGTGTGATGGACATTTATCTTCTGGGCCAGGCCCCTTACAAAGGAGGACCGGACACAACCGAGTGTTATTGGCCAGTTAGCTCTGACATGAACAGGCCAGGTCCTAATTCATGCAGATGACATGTGATGGGAAGATGTGGATGTTGAGGTTGAAGACGAGTATCTACTGTAACAGAGAGAAAAGAGAATCTGTGGACACAGCCAGAGACTTTAACACAAAAGTATAGCTCTAAAAGGGAAGAAGACAGTCATTCATTTGCATGGATTAGGTTATAGCATACAATGCTAAAATGAGTAACTATAGCCCAATTATTACAGGTTAGATGGGGAGTCTGGTTTGTTCAGAGGGGCTCCAAACGGGGGGGGGGTTGCTTTGGGGTTTGTGCTCAGAGCCTCAGGCTTCCTGTGTGCTTGGGCTTCCTGTGTGACGGCGCCCGTCTCCCATCAGGTGAAGAGAAAGCTGGACCTGGACAGCGACCACCAGTACGTCAGCACCACTCGGCCCTCCACAGGCCAGGCCCCGCCCTCCACTCCAGCCCCCCCCAAAGGTACGACCCCCCCCACCCACCCCCTGTCTGCAGGTGCTGAGTGACAGAAGGAACAAAAACTGTTTGTCTGGGCAACGATGAGCTGAACTAGGATCTTTTTTTCCTTTTGAAATGATAAATGCAAACTAATTTTGAATGTTAAATTTTATTATACAGAGAAGGAAAGTGTCCTTCAGCGTCGGTGTGCTTTTAAAAGACAAATCGGAAGAAACACCGTCCCTTTGGATTTCTAACTAATTATACAAGTTATACAGCTTGTTGCTGCTGCAAAGAAGCAAACTATTCTTTCTTTCAAAGTGTTAGTTCCGCCTAAAAGTGTGTGCAGCAAATGTTTCAGCATTTCAGTGGGAAAAGTGAGGTTTTTCACTCCTTAATTACTTATTTCCAAAAGAGATCTTTTGCTCTAAAGTAGGAAGTAATACATTATATTTGGGACAGATGTCTTTTCTGCAGCATCGCTTTCAGACTGAGTGATGAGTGGCTTCAAAAGGGCCTTCAATTGTTGCAGTTCCATCGCACAATGTGTCTAAAAACACTTTATTCTAACGTGTGTATGTGTGAGATTGTGTGTTTTGGAGAAGTCAGACCTGAGCCACGACTCTCCAGAAGACAGCAAAGAGCATCTCTGCACAGTTAAATCCACTTTACAGATTCTGCCTTTTGTCGGATGATGCTTGTAAAAAATCTGAATCGAGACCCGTTTTCCGGTTCTTATTCCGGTTGGATTTAAGGAGGCAGAGCCTTCTGGTTTTGGGGCTCCTCCGTCTGTGTGTGTCTGCTGTGAGAAGCTTTGTGTGTGTGTGAGAAGCTTTTGTGTGTGTGTGTGAGTTTGTGGTTTTATTAGTCCGCCCATGGGCCCGTCCCCCCCCCCCCCCAGTTCCCCGGAGCACGGCGGAGAAGTCCCGCTACGACACCTCCCTGAACCTGACCACCAAGCGCTTCCTGAACCTGCTGTCCCAGTCGGCGGACGGCGTGGTGGACCTGAACTGGGCCTCGCAGGTGCTGGACGTCCAGAAGAGACGCATCTACGACATCACCAACGTCCTGGAGGGCATCCAGCTCATCTCCAAGAAGTCCAAGAACCACATCCAGTGGCTGTGAGTACCGGAGGGCGGCCGAGTCGGCGAGCAGAAACTGCCGAGTCGGCGTTTCTACGGCTGCCTGCGGCCAGAAAGAAAGTGTCCCGGACTCTGATCCAATGGAGGAGCTCTTCTTCTGCAGAGTTTCAGAAAAGTTAGCGTGGCAGTGCCCGGGACTAACTTCTTCTTCTGCTTCTTCTTCCTATTTTTGTTCTTTTTTTTTCGTTCTCCCTCTTCTTCTCCTTGTTGTTTTTGTTGTTCTTTTTTTTTTGTTCTTATTCTTTTTCTACTTCTTCTTATTCTTGTTGTTCTCCTCATTATTTTTCTTATTATTTTTGTTCTTCTCTTTTTTCTTCTCCTTGTTGTTCTTCTTTTTCTTCTTCTTGTTCTTCTTCTTTTTCTACTTCTTCTTGTTGTTGTTCTTTTGTTTTGTTCTCATTATTTTTCTTCTCCCTGTTCGTGTTGTTCTTCTTGTCGTTCTTTTGTTTTGTTCTTGTTCTCATTATTTTTCTTTTTGTTATTCTTCTTGTTCTTCTTCTTTTGTTCTTATTCTTGTTGTTCTCCTTATTATTTTTCTTCTTATTTTTCTTATTATTGTTCTCTTTCTTATTTTTCTTCTTCTTCTTGTTTTTTCCTTATTATTATTTTAATTCTTCCTCTTCTTCTCCTCCGTGTGCACGGCCGTTCCACAGTGGGAACCGAGTGGACGCCAGCCTGGTTTCGCGGCACAAGGCTCTGCAGAGGGAGGTGTGCGACCTGACAGAGGCGGAGGAGCAGCTGGACCAGCTCGTCTCCAAATGCAACCTGCAGCTGCGGCTGCTCACCGAGGAGCCGCAGAACAAGAAATATCCTTTTGTCCGGCGTCCAATCGGCCCCTTTCTGCTGCCACCGGCCCCTTTAGCCGGCGTCCACCAGCTTCAGATGCTGCCTTCACTGACCCTTTAGTGACAATTAAAACATGATTTTTATTTTTTTCTAATTAAAGACGCATGTATGTGTTGTTGTTTTTTTGCTTGCGCACAAAATGAGCCCTACATAAACATCCCTGTGCTCATAGAACAAACCAACACAGAGCATGAACTCACAACAAATTACCGTATTATTTTATTCTGGCACCAAAAAATATTTCAACCCAATAAAAGAATTTCAGCCCCCCTCCCCACACAATTTTTTAAAAACTATTTTGTCTTGCAACATTTTTTTAATAAGTCAAAGTTAAGTTAAACTAAGTTATGTAAAATAACTTAATTTAACTTAACTTTAACTTTTTTAATACCTTAATAAATTATGTTTTAACTGACACTGCAGAAGGTTCAGTGAATGCAGCATCTGAAGCTGGTTGGTTCGGTTCCTCGTAAAGGTTAAAGCTCCTGGCTTAGAGTAAACGTAGCCCCGCCCCCGCTGGAGCGGGGCAGGGCCCCGGCCCCCCGTGGTCCCCCCCCCCCCCACACACATCTGGAGCAGATGTTTCCTTAAGGCTTGGCTCCTCAGGCTGGGCTACGTGCGCTGCCAGGACCTCCGGCAGTCCTTCGACTCCCCGGACCAGCTGGTGATGGTGATCCGGGCCCCCCCCGAGACCCAGATGCAGGTCTCCGAGCCCAGCGAGGTGAGCTCAACTACGATCATTTTTTGTTCCCTTTTGAAATGGAAAAAACGCAAGACTAATTTTAAACGTTAACTTTTATTACACAATATTCAGCGTCGGTGTGCTTTTAAAATACACAAATCGGAAGAAATGTGGTACATTCGGATCTATATTTTTAAAGATTGTTCATTTGTACATTCGGATCTATATTTTTAAAGATTGTATTTTTCAGTTTTATCATTTCTGTCCTATATTTTTACTTCTACATTTTATTTTTTTGCTTCTCATAGAAGTGTTGTAT